AGATCTTTTTTTAGTATTTTAGTATTAACATTACCGATGGTGAGATCTATTATCACTTTTTGTGTGTCCTCGGAAATTGAAAGTAGATGCAAATTCTCCCAATTTGTGTCCTACCATATGATCCGTTATATAAATAGGCAGATGCTCTTTTCCATTATGGATGGCAATAGTATGACCAATCATTGTCGGTATAATGGTGGAGCCTCGGGACCAAGTTCTTATTATTTCTTTTTCTGCTTTTCTGTTAAGCTTATCAATCATTGTCGGTTTAGTGAACGTGCCACAGCTGACTCCTATATATTTTTTTGAAGAAATCAATTCGATTTTCTTTACTACTTACTACGGTGACGAAGAATGAACTTCTCACTATATTTATTTCTTTTTCTACTTTTTCTTCCAAGTGCAGGATAACCCCAAGGGGTTGTGGGTTTTTTTTCTACCAATTGGAGCTCTCCCTTCACCACCTCCATGGGGATGGTCTACAGGGTTCATAACTACTCCTCTTACTACAAGACGCTTACCTAGCTAACGTTTAGCTCCGGCTCTACCCAAACTTTTCTGGTTCACCCCAACATTCCCCACTTGTCCGACTGTTGCTGAGCAGTTTTTGGATATCAAACGGACCTCCCCAGAAGGTAATTTTATTGTGGCTGATTTTCCCTCTTTTGCAATCAGTTTCGCGACAGCACCCGCTGCTCTAGCTAATTGTCCACCCTTTCCAAGTGTGATTTCTATGTTATGTATAGCCGTGCCTAAGGGCATTTCTGTCAAAGGTAGGGCATTTCCGATTTTTATAGAAACCTCTATACCAGAAACAATGCTATCTCCAATTATAGCCCCCCTGGGATGTAAAATATATATCTTCTCACCATTCCCATAGTGTATGAGACAAATGTATGCATTTCGATTAGGGTCGTATTCTATGGTTACGATTCGACCATATATGTCTTTTTTCATTCCGTCGAAAATCTATTTTACGGTATAGACGCTTATGACCTCCCCCTCTATGCCTTGCAGTAATGATTCCTCTGGCTTTACGACCTTTACCACAACGATGCTGTCCATAGATCAAATTCTTTCCTCGAGTGGATTTCACTTGACCATTTACGGTTCCATTGCGTGTACTCGGGGTATAAGTTTTGGATAATTGTATCACCATGCTATTAAGTATTTTTCACCTATGCTAAAAAATGAACTTAGTGCTCGTTTGGTATCTATGGAGTATGGTATACTAATTCTATTGTTTGGTTAGATTTGGAATTGTAAGGAATAACGAGTATAAAGACCTATATGCCCCTACAAATTAATAAAAGTAAACAAGGGTAAAGAATTCATTTTCCATGGAAAATGAATTCCATGAACCAAACACAAGAAAACAACATTTTCATCCACTTTAAGGAAAGTGTTTTCCATGAACCAAACATCCCCTTATAGTGTGATGGTTACGATTTTTTTTATTAAAGAAGATGCTCAATACAATAGGGAATTTACAAATACAAATTGCATATATATTTTAAAGCATATATTCCACATCAATAAGATCTCATAGTGCAAATATACAATTAGTGGCAATTCTTTTTAAAACCAAAACGATGACTTTTATTAAACAAGATGCTCAATACAATAGAGAATTGAAGATAACCAACATCCGGGACCAGTTTAAGAACACATAGCTCGAGCCAAGGCATGAGCCAAATTGTTCACAGATCTAGGTACATAATTAAAGGACACTACTTCAATGTGTCGTTTTAAGATAAGGCACTCTCGCATAATACAACTGTTAGTCTTTTAAGACCCAATCTTCATGATTGATTAGAGTAAATGTGCTCCCTATCTTTCTATGAAGATAACAACCTTCAAGTTCTTACATGATCTAAAACAAAAAACCATCATTTCAAATGGAATGGTCCCGTAGTTCAATTGGTTAGAGCGTTGGTCTTGTGAGTTGAAGGTCACGAGTTCGAGCCTTGTTGGGACCATATTCACATAGGCGTGGAGAACAATTACTATGGGAATACAAATTCTATTGTTTGGTTAGATTTGGAATTGTAAGGAATAACGAGTATAAATACCTATATGCCCAATTCCATGAACCAAACACAAGAAAACAACATTTTCATCCACTTTAAGGAAAATGTTTTCCATGAACCAAACATACCCTTATAGTGTGATGGTTTTTTTATTTTTTATTTATTAAAGAAGATGCTCAATACAATTGGGAATTTACAAATACAAATTGCATATATATTTTAAAGCATATATTCCACATCGATAAGATCTCATATTGCAAATAAGTGGCAATTTTTTTGAAAACCAAAACGATGACTTTTATTAAAGAAGATGCTCAATACAATAGGGAATTGAAGATAACCAACATCCGGGACCAGTTTGAGAACGCATAGCTCGAGTCAAGGCATGAGCCAAATTGTTCACTGATCTAGGTGCATAATTAAAGGACACTACTTCAAAGTGTCGTTTTAAGATAAGGCATTCTCGCATAATACAACTGTTAGTCATTTAAGACCCAATCTTCACTATTGATTAGAGTAAATGTGCTCCCCATCTTTCCATGAAGATAACAACCTTCATGTTCTTACATGGTCTAAAACAAAAAACCATCATTTCAAATGGAATGGTCCCGTAGCTTAGTTGGTTAGAGCGTTGGTCTTATGAGCCGAAGGTTGCGGGTTCGAGCCCCGCCGGGACCATATTAACCTATGCTAAAAAATGAACTTAGTGCTCGTTTGGTATCTATGGAGTATCGTATACTAATTCTATTGTTTGGTTAGATTTGTAATTGTAAGGAATAACGAGTATAAAGACCTATATGCGCCTACAAATTAATAGAAGTAAACAACGGTAAAGAATTCGTATTCCATGAACCAAACACAAGAAAACAACATTTTTATCCACTTTAAGGAAAGTATTTTCCATGAACCAAACATCCCCTTATATTGTGATGGTTGCGATTTTTTTTTATTAAAGAAGATGCTCAATACAATTGGGAATTTACAAATACAAATTGCATATATATATTAAAGCATATATTCCACATCGATAAGATCTCATATTGCAAATATACAATTAGTGGCAATTTTTTTGAAAACCAAAACGATGACTTTTTTTAAAGAAGATTCTCAATACAATTGGGAGGGGACCAGTTTGAGAACGCATAGCTCGAGCCAAGGCATGAGCCAAATTGTTCACTGATCTAGGTACATAATTAAAGGACACTACTTCAAAGTGTCGTTTTAAGATAAGGCACTCTCGCATAATACAAAAGTTAGTCATTTAAGACCCAATCTTCACTATTGATTAGAGTAAATGTGCTCCCCATCTTTCCATGAAGATAACAACCTTCAAGTTCTTACATGGTCTAAAACAAAAAACCATCATTTCAAATGGAATGGTCCCGTAGCTTAGTTGGTTAGAGCGTTGGTCTTATGAGCCGAAGGTCGCGAGTTTAAGCCCCGCCGGAACCATATTCATCTATGCTAAAAAATGAACTTAGTGCTCGTTTGGTATCTATGGAGTATCGTATACTAATTCTATTGTTTGGTGTTAGATTTGTAATTGTAAGGAATAACGAGTATAAAGACCTATATGCGCCTACAAATTAATAGAAGTAAACAACGGTAAAGAATTCGTATTCCATGAACCAAACACAAGAAAACAACATTTTTATCCACTTTAAGGAAAGTATTTTCCATGAACTAAACATCCCCTTATATTGTGATGGTTGCGATTTTTTTTTATTAAAGAAGATGCTCAATACAATTGGGAATTTACAAATACAAATTGCATATATATATTAAAGCATATATTCCACATCGATAAGATCTCATATTGCAAATATACAATTAGTGGCAATTTTTTTGAAAACCAAAACGATGACTTTTATTAAAGAAGATTCTCAATACAATTGGGAATTGAAGATAACCAACATCCGGGACCAGTTTGAGAACGCATAGCTCGAGCCAAGGCATGAGCCAAATTGTTCACTGATCTAGGTACATAATTAAAGGACACTACTTCAAAGTGTCGTTTTAAGATAAGGCATTCTCGCATAATACAAAAGTTAGTCATTTAAGAACCAATCTTCACTATTGATTAGAGTAAATGTGCTCCCCATCTTTCCATGAAGATAACAACCTTCAAGTTCTTACATGGTCTAAAACAAAAAACCATCATTTCAAATGGAATGGTCCCGTAGCTCAGTTGGTTAGAGCATTGGTCTTATGAGCCGAAGGTTGCGGGTTCGAGCCTCGCCGAGACCATATTCACCTATGCTAAAAAATGAACTTAGTGCTCGTTTGGTATCTATGCAGTATCGTATACTAATTCTATTGTTTGGTTAGATTTGGAATTGTAAGGAATAACGAGTATAAAGACCTATATGCCCCTACAAATTAATAGAAGTAAACAAGGGTAAAGAATTCGTATTCTATGAACCAAACACAAGAGAAAACAACATTTTCATCCACTTTAAGGAAAATATTTTCCATGAACCAAACATCCCCTTATTGTGTGATGGTTACGATTTTTTTTTTTATTAAAGAAGATGCTCAATACAATTGGGAATTTACAAATACAAATTGCATATATATATTAAAGCATATATTCCACATCGATAAGATCTCATATTGCAAATATAGAATTAGTGGCAATTTTTTTGAAAACCAAAACGATGACTTTTATTAAAGAAGATTCTCAATACAATAGGGAATTGAAGATAACCAACATCCGGGACCAGTATGAGAACGCATAGCTCGAGCCAAGGTATGAGCCAAATTGTTCACTGATCGAGGTACATAATTAAAGGACACTATTTCAAAGTGTCTTTTTAAGATAAGGCATTCTCGCAAAATACAACTTTTAGTCATTTAAGACCCAATCTTCACGATTGATTAGAGTAAATGTGTTCCCCATCTTTCCATGAAGATAACAACCTTCAAGTTCTTACATGCTCTAAAACAAAAAACCATCATTTCTAATGGAATGGTCCCGTAGATCAGTCGGTTAGAGCGTTGGTCTTAAGAGCCGGAGGTCGCGGGTTTGAGCCCCGTCGGGACCATATTTACCTATGCTAATAAATGAACTTAGTGCTCGTTTGGTATCTATGGAGTATGGTATACTAATTCTTTTGTTTGGTTAGATTTGGAATTGTAAGGATTAACGAGTATAAACACCTATATGCCCTTACAAATTAATAAAAGTAAACAAGGGTAAAGAATTCATTTTCCACGGAAAATGAATACCATGAACCAAACACAAGAAAACAACATTTTCGTCCACTTTAAGAAAAATATTTTCCATGAACCAAACATCCCCTTATAGTGTGATGGTTTCGATTTTTTTTTTTTTTATTAAAGAAGATGCTCAATACAATTGGGAATTTACAAATACAAATTGCATATATATTTTAAAGAATATATTCCACATCGATAAGATCTCATATTGCAAAAAAGTGGCAATTTTTTTGAAAACCAAAACGATGACTTTTATTAAAGAAGATGCTCAATACAATAGGTAATTGAAGATAACCAACAACCGGGACCAGTTTGAGAACGCATAGCTCGAGCCAAGGCATGAGCCAAATTGTTCACTGATCTAGGTACATAATTAAAGGACACTACTTCAAAGTGTCGTTTTAAGATAAGGCATTCTCGCATAATACAACTGTTAGTCATTTAATACCCAATCTTCACGATTGATTAGAGTAAATGTGCTCCCCATCTTTCCATGAAGATAACAACCTTCAAGTTCTTTGATGGTCTAAAACAAAAAACCATCATTTCAATTGGAATGGTCCCGTAGCTCAGTTGGTTAGAGCGTTGGTCTTATGAGCCGAAGGTCGCGGGTTCGAGCCCCGTCGGGACCATATCTACTTATGCTAAAAAATGAACTTAGTGCTCGTTTGGTATCTATTGAGTATCGTACACTAATTCTATTGTTAGGTTAGATTTGGAATTGTAAGGAATAACGAGTATAAAGATCTATATGCCCCTACAAATTAATAAAAGTAAAGAATTCATATTGCATGAACCAAACACAAGATTACAACATTTTCATCCACTTTAAGGAAAATATTATACATGAACCAAACATCCCCTTATAGTGTGATGGTTACGATTTTATTTTTTTATTAAAGAAGGTGATCAATACAATTGGGAATTTACAAATACAAATTGCATATATAAATTAAAGCATATATTCCACATCGATAAGATCTCATATTCCAAATAAGTGGCAATTTTTTTGAAAACCAAAACGATGACTTTTATTAAAGAAGATGCTCAATACAATAGGGAATTGAAGATAACCAACATCCGGGACCAGTTTGAGAACGCATAGCTCGAGCCAAGGCATGAGCCAAATTGTTCACTCATCTAGGTGAATAATTAAAGGACACTACTTCAAAGTGTCGTTTTAAGATAAGGCACTCTCGCATAATACAATTGTTAGTCATTTAAGACCCAATCTTCACGATTGATTAGAGTAAATGTGCTCCCCAACTTTCAATGAAGATAACAACCTTCAAGTTCTTACATGGTCTAAAACAAAAAACCATCATTTCAAATGGAATGGTCCCGTAACTCAGTTGGTTAGAGCGTTGGTCTTATGAGCCAAAGGTTGCGGGTTCAAGCCCCGCCGGGACCATATTCACCTATGCTAAAAAATTAACTTAGTGCTCGTTTGGTATCTATGGAGTATCGTATACTAATTCTATTGTTTGGTTAGATTTAGAATTGTAAGGAATAACGAGTATAAAGATCTATACGCCCCCTCAAATTAATAAAACTAAACAACGTTAAAGAATTCCATATTCCATGAACCAAACACAAGAAAACAACATTTTCATCCACTTTAAGGAAAATATTTTACATGAACAAAACATCCCCTTATAGTGTGATGGTTACGATTTTTTTTTTATTAAAGAAGATGATCAATACATTTGGGAATTTACAAATACAAATTGCATATATAAATTAAAGCATATATTCCACATCGATAAGATCTCATATTGCAAATATACAATTAGTGGCAATTTTTTTGAAAACCAAAACGATGACTTTTATTAAAGAAGATTCTCAATACAATAGGGAATTGAAGATAACCAACATCCGGGACCAGTTTGAGAACGCATAGCTCGAGCCAAGGCATGAGCCAAATTGTTCACTGATCTAGGTACATAATTAAAGGACACTACTTCAAAGTGTCATTTTAAGATAAGGCACTCTCGCATAATACAACTGTTAGTCATTTAAGACCCAATCTTCACGATTGATTAGAGTAAATATGCTCCCCATCTTTCCATGAAGATAACAACCTTCAAGTTCTTACATGGTCTAAAACAAAAAACCATCATTTCAAATGGAATGGTCCCGTAGCTCAATTGGTTAGAGCATTGGTCTTATGAGCTGAAGGTCGCGGGTTTGAGCCCCGCCGAGACCATATTCACCTATGCTAAAAAATGAACTTAGTGCTCGTTTGGTATCTATGGAATATCGTATACTAATTTTATTGTTTGGTTAGATTTGGAATTGTAAGGAATAACGAGTATAAAGACCTATATGCCCTTACAAATTAATAAAAGTAAACAAGGGTAAAGAATTCATATTCCATGAACCAAACACAAGAAAACAACTTTTTCATCCACTTTAAGGAAAATATTTTCCATGAACCAAACATCCCCTTATAGTGTGATGGTTACGATTTTTTTTTTTTTATTGAAGAAGATGCTCAATACAATTGGGTATTTACAAATACAAATGGCATATATATATATTAAAGCATATATTCCACATCGATAAGATCTCATATTGCAAATATACAATTAGTGGCAATTTTTTTGAAAACCAAAACGATGACTTTTATTAAAGAAGATTCTCAATACAATAGGGAATTGAAGATAACCAACATCCGGGACCAGTATGAGAACGCATAGCTCGAGCCAAGGTATGAGCCAAATTGTTCACTGATCGAGGTACATAATTAAAGGACACTATTTCAAAGTGTCTTTTTAAGATAAGGCATTCTCGCAAAATACAACTTTTAGTCATTTAAGACCCAATCTTCACGATTGATTAGAGTAAATGTGTTCCCCATCTTTCCATGAAGATAACAACCTTCAAGTTCTTACATGCTCTAAAACAAAAAACCATCATTTCTAATGGAATGGTCCCGTAGATCAGTCGGTTAGAGCGTTGGTCTTAAGAGCCGAAGGAAGCGGGTTTGAGCCCCGTCGGGACCATATTTACCTATGCTAAAAAATGAACTTAGTGCTCGTTTGGTATCTATGGAGTATGGTATACTAATTCTTTTGTTTGGTTAGATTTGGAATTGTAAGGAATAACGAGTATAAACACCTATATGCCCTTACAAATTAATAAAAGTAAACAAGGGGAAAGAATTCATTTTCCATGGAAAATGAATACCATGAACCAAACACAAGAAAACAACATTTTCATCCACTTTAAGAAAAATATTTTCCATGAACCAAACATCCTTTTATAGTGTGATGGTTTCGATTTTTTTTTTTTTTATTAAAGAAGATGCTCAATACAATTGGGAATTTACAAATACAAATTGCATATATATTTTAAAGAATATATTCCACATCGATAAGATCTCATATTGCAAACAAGTGGCAATTTTTTTGAAAACAAAAACGATGACTTTTATTAAAGAAGATGCTCAATACAATAGGTAATTGAAGATAACCAACATCCGGGACCAGTTTGAGAACGCATAGCTCGAGCCAAGGCATGAGCCAAATTGTTCACTGATCTAGGTACATAATTAAAGGACACTACTTCAAAGTGTCGTTTTAAGATAAGGCATTCTCGCATAATACAACTGTTAGTCATTTAATACCCAATCTTCAAGATTGATTAGAGTAAATGTGCTCCCCATCTTTCCATGAAGATAACAACCTTCAAGTTCTTTCATGGTCTAAAACAAAAAACCATCATTTCAATTGGAATGGTCCCGTAGCTCAGTTGGTTAGAGCGTTGGTCTTATGAGCCAAAGGTCGCGGGTTCGAGCCCCGCCGGGACCATATCTACTTATGCTAAAAAATGAACTTAGTGCTCGTTTGGTATCTATCAAGTATCGTACACTAATTCTATTGTTAGGTTAGATTTGGAATTGTAAGGAATAACGAGTATAAAGATCTATATGCCCCTACAAATTAATAAAAGTAAACAAGGTTAAAGAATTCATATTGCATGAACCAAACACAAGATTACAACATTTTCATCCACTTTAAGGAAAATATTATACATGAACCAAACATCCCCTTATAGTGTGATGGTTACGATTTTATTTTTTTATTAAAGAAGGTGATCAATACAATTGGGAATTTACAAATACAAATTGCATATATAAATTAAAGCATATATTCCACATCGATAAGATCTCATATTGCAAATATACAATTAGTGGCAATTTTTTTGAAAACCAAAACGATGACTTTTATTAAAGAAGATTCTCAATACAATAGGGAATTGAAGATAACCAACATTGGGACCTGTTTGAGAACGCATTGCTCGAGCCAAGGCGTGAGCCAAATTGTTCACTGATCTAGGTACATAATTAAAGGACACTACTTCAAAGTTTAGTTTTAAGATAAGGCACTCTCGCATAATACAACTTTTAGTCATTTAAGACCCAATCTTCACGATTGATTAGAGTAAATGTGTTCCCCATCTTTCCATGAAGATAACAACCTTCAAGTTCTTACATGCTCTAAAACAAAAAACCATCATTTTAAATGGAATGGTCCCGTAGATCAGTCGGTTAGAGCGTTGGTCTTAAGAGCCGAAGGAAGCGGGTTTGAGCCCGTCGGGACCATATTTACCTATGCTAAAAAATGAACTTAGTGCTCGTTTGGTATCTATGGAGTATGGTATACTAATTCTTTTGTTTGGTTAGATTTGGAATTGTAAGGAATAACGAGTATAAACACCTATATGCCCTTACAAATTAATAAAAGTAAACAAGGGGAAAGAATTCATTTTCCATGGAAAATGAATACCATGAACCAAACACAAGAAAACAACATTTTCATCC